TTTCGAGCAGAATTTAATAAGCTAAGAAAAGTCGAAAAAAATGCTCTTAATGTTGAAAAATCGACATTAAGGTTTCGAGCAGAATTTAATAAGCTAAGAAAAGTCGAAAAAAATGCTCTTAATGTTGAAAAATCGACATTAAGGTTTCGAGCAGAATTTAATAAGCTAAGAAAAGTCGAAAAAAATGCTCTTAATGTTGAAAAATCGACATTAAGGTTTCGACACTAATTTAATAAGCTAAGAAAAGTCGAAAAAAATGCTCTTAATGTTGAAAAATCGACATTAAGGTTTCGAGCAGAATTTAATAAGCTAAGAAAAGTCGAAAAAAATGCTCTTAATGTTGAAAAATCAACATTAAGGTTTCGACACTCACTTAATAAGCTAAGAAGAGTCGAAAAAAATGCTCTTAATGTTGAAAAATCGACATTAAGGTTTCGAGCAGAATTTAATAAGCTAAGAAAAGTCGAAAAAAATGCTCTTAATGTTGAAAAATCGACATTAAGGTTTCGACACTAATTTAATAAGCTAAGAAAAGTCGAAAAAAATGCTCTTAATGTTGAAAAATCGACATTAAGGTTTCGAGCAGAATTTAATAAGCTAAGAAAAGTCGAAAAAAATGCTCTTAATGTTGAAAAATCAACATTAAGGTTTCGACACTCACTTAATAAGCTAAGAAGAGTCGAAAAAATGCTCTTAATGTTGAAAATCGACATTAAGGTTTCGAGCAGAATTTAATAAGCTAAGAAAAGTCGAAAAAAATGCTCTTAATGTTGAAAAATCGACATTAAGGTTTCGACACTAATTTAATAAGCTAAGAAAAGTCGAAAAAAATGCTCTTAATGTTGAAAAATCGACATTAAGGTTTCGAGCAGAATTTAATAAGCTAAGAAAAGTCGAAAAAATGCTCTTAATGTTGAAAAATCGACATTAAGGTTTCGAGCAGAATTTAATAAGCTAAGAAAAGTCGAAAAAAATGCTCTTAATGTTGAAAAATCAACATTAAGGTTTCGACACTCACTTAATAAGCTAAGAAGAGTCGAAAAAAATGCTCTTAATGTTGAAAAATCGACATTAAGGTTTCGAGCAGAATTTAATAAGCTAAGAAAAGTCGAAAAAAATGCTCTTAATGTTGAAAAATCGACATTAAGGTTTCGACACTAATTTAATAAGCTAAGAAAAGTCGAAAAAAATGCTCTTAATGTTGAAAAATCGACATTAAGGTTTCGAGCAGAATTTAATAAGCTAAGAAAAGTCGAAAAAAATGCTCTTAATGTTGAAAAATCGACATTAAGGTTTCGAGCAGAATTTAATAAGCTAAGAAAAGTCGAAAAAAATGCTCTTAATGTTGAAAAATCGACATTAAGGTTTCGAGCAGAATTTAATAAGCTAAGAAAAGTCGAAAAAAATGCTCTTAATGTTGAAAAATCAACATTAAGGTTTCGACACTCACTTAATAAGCTAAGAAGAGTCGAAAAAAATGCTCTTAATGTTGAAAAATCGACATTAAGGTTTCGACACTCACTTAATAAGCTAAGAAGAGTCGAAAAAAATGCTCTTAATGTTGAAAAATCAAGATTAAGGTTTCGACACTCACTTAATAAGCTAAGAAGAGTCGAAAAAAATGCTCTTAATGTTGAAAAATCAACATTAAGGTTTCGACACTCACTTAATAAGCTAAGAAGAGTCGAAAAAAATGCTCTTAATGTTGAAAAATCAACATTAAGGTTTCGACACTCACTTAATAAGCTAAGAAGAGTCGAAAAAATGCTCTTAATGTTGAAAAATCGACATTAAGGTTTCGAGCAGAATTTAATAAGCTAAGAAAAGTCGAAAAAAATGCTCTTAATGTTGAAAAATCAACATTAAGGTTTCGACACTCACTTAATAAGCTAAGAAGAGTCGAAAAAATGCTCTTAATGTTGAAAAATCGACATTAAGGTTTCGACACTAATTTAATAAGCTAAGAAGAGTCGAAAAAAATGCTCTTAATGTTGAAAAATCGACATTAAGGTTTCGACACTCACTTAATAAGCTAAGAAGAGTCGAAAAAATGCTCTTAATGTTGAAAAATCGACATTAAGGTTTCAGCAGAATTTAATAAGCTAAGAAAAGGTCGAAAAAATGCTCTTAATGCTGAAAAATCAACATTAAGGTTTCGAGCAGAATTTAATAAGCTAAGAAGAGTCGAAAAAAATGCTCTTAATGTTGAAAAATCAACATTAAGGTTTCGACACTCACTTAATAAGCTAAGAAGAGTCGAAAAAAATGCTCTTAATGCTGAAAAATCCACATTAAGGTTTCGACACTAATTTAATAAGCTAAGAAGAGTCGAAAAAAATGCTCTTAATGTTGAAAAATCAACATTAAGGTTTCGACACTCACTTAATAAGCTAAGAAGAGTCGAAAAAAATGCTCTTAATGTTGAAAAATCAACATTAAGGTTTCGACACTCACTTAATAAGCTAAGAAGAGTCGAAAAAAATGCTCTTAATGTTGAAAAATCGACATTAAGGTTTCGAGCAGAATTTAATAAGCTAAGAAAAGTCGAAAAAAATGCTCTTAATGTTGAAAAATCGACATTAAGGTTTCGAGCAGAATTTAATAAGCTAAGAAAAGTCGAAAAAAATGCTCTTAATGTTGAAAAATCGACACTAAGGTTTCGAGCAGAATTTAATAAGCTAAGAAAAGTCGAAAAAATGCTCTTAATGTTGAAAAATCAACATTAAGGTTTCGACACTCACTTAATAAGCTAAGAAGAGTCGAAAAAAATGCTCTTAATGTTGAAAAATCAACATTAAGGTTTCGACACTCACTTAATAAGCTAAGAAAAGTCGAAAAAAATGCTCTTAATGCTGAAAAATCAACATTAAGGTTTCGACACTCACTTAATAAGCTAAGAAGAAAATTTGACTTTACATAGGGCTTGCCGAATGCCGTTCACCAAAAAATGAAAGCGCACGCTCCCTCCATTTTTATAGGCTACGGCCACTTCCGGTCAATGCTAATTGCCTCCTGACCAAGAGGTTTTTCGATATATTTACAAAAACTTAATGTTAATAGCGAAAACAGCCGATTTTCTTCAATTTTATATGTGTGCACCCATCTCGGGACCATTACGCACCTAATGACGTATCATACGTACCTTAAAAACCTTCCCCTGCGGCTGTGGGTGCGGTACATACTTACGGAAGTTGCATGCAAATATACACACACACAGACATTATTTTTTTATATATATCAGGTTGGAAGGTAAGTCCTGTCGCCGAGATTTTGGAAGGCTGGCTAAAATCGTAGATAGCTCCATGCTGCACATTCGATATGTCATTTTGAAGCTCTTGGGCTGAACTGTTTTGGGAGGAGGGTCCTAGCCCGCCAAGATCCAGGCGGACCGAGATACAGGCCCAGGAAGATTTTTCAAAAATTACGCAAAAGTGTTTTTGCAAGTTATCTCTGCATAAAGATATTTGCATGCGATACCTTTAACGCCAATCGATAGCTCTCGAAGAGTAGATATCGATAAATGTTGAGATCATCATAATTGGACATCGGATGGCCGAGATATGGCCTCTTGAAGTTTAGCCCATTTCTTAGAACTTTTCTCAAAATCCCATACTTTTCCAAACATTTGACGGACAGGTGCCGAAAATTACCGCTTTATTTTTGGACGCGCCGAGCGGATTTCGACCAAATGTATGGGATTTCGAGAAAAGTTCTAAGAAATGTTCCAAATTTCAAAGGCCCATATCTCGGCCGTCCAGTGTCCAATTTTGATGATCTCAGCATCTATCGATATCTACTCCTCGAGGGCTATCGATTGGCGTTAAAGGTATCGTATGCAAATCACTCTATGCAGAGATAACTTGCAAAAACGCTTTCGCTCAATTTTTCCAAAAACTTCTTGGGCCCGTATCTCGGTCCGCCTGGATCTTGGCGGGCTAGGACCCTCCTCCCAAAACAGTTCAGCCCAAGAGCTTCAAAATGACATATCGAATGTGCAGAATGGAGCTATCTACGATTTTAGCCAGCCTTCCAAAATCTCGGCGACAGGACTTACCTTCCAACCTGATAGTAGGATAGGATTAAATTCTGCTCGAAACCTTAATGTTGATTTTTCAACATTAAGAGCATTTTTTCGACTTTTTCTGAGCTTTTTTATGCTAGGCCAGGGCAAACTAGCCAAGTCCCTTAGGGAAATCCGTACCACATCCCCCCTTCCAAAGTCCAGTTTTTGCTGTGGACGACAAATTACTGGGCAGGCCAGCAGGCTGTAGTTTGGCTGGAACGTGGTCGGATGAATGATAAGACTGGGGCAAGGTGGGAGAGAGAAGCGAGCTAGAGAGGGACAGAGAATGAGAGAGGCAGACTACGAAATCCGTCGGGTACCCGTTTTGGGTGATAAGACTACGACATTCATCTCCACCCGGCCACGCCATTTACTCAGCTGGCGAAAAGTCGATGTTTTTCCGCAGGATTTTTGGGGTTATTAAAGATATTTTTCGTATTTATTTTTCGTTTGAGCAAATAATCGTTTTCTCATTGCTTTTGAACTTTGAAAGACCTTTTGATACGTTGATTTTTATAGGGTTTTTAGCTTTAAGGTAGATCGCGTTTCCAAATCGCGTTCGGTCAATTTCTCTCGCGTTCTGTCTCTCGCCCTCCCTGTCTTTCTCGACGCCTCTCTCTCTCTCTCTCTCTCTCTCTCTCTCTCGATCTCGCTCTCTCGCTTTTCGCTTTCCCTTTCTCACTCTCTCTGTGTCGCACCCTCTCTCTCTCTCTCTCTCTCTCTCTCTCTCTCTATCTCGTTCTCTCTCCCTCGCGCTCTCTCTTCTCCCAGTCTCTCATTCTCTCGCTCTCTCTCTATGCCTGTCTCCCTATTTCTATCTAGCGCTCTCTTCCTCGGGCTATTGAAATTCGCGATTTATTTTATGTTTACCTTAGATACCTGGCTTTCTAGCCTTTCAATACTTTCATACCTAGGTAAAATCCGTTATTCGACAGCCATGACCAAGCCGAAGGTGTACGTTATCGGGGTGGGCATGACCAAGTTCACAAAGCCCGGATCCACCGGACTGGACTATCCAGATTTGGTCAAAGAAGCCGGTAACTACCTTCTAAATTAGGCTGAAGCTCGAGTTTTTTAGTCAATGAAGCCCTGGCCGATGCCAAGTTGGAGTACAAGGATATCCAACAGGCGACAGTTGGCTACCTGTTTGGAGGTGCGCTTTGTAGTGCTGGTACTCAGTGACATGAGTGGATTGGCGGCAGGCTAGCAGAGATTATTTGAGGAATTGGAGGGGATGGAGGGGCAGGCTAGCAGGAATTCCAGCCAAAACGCAGAAAACCAAAACGTAGAATGCTAAAACGCAGACAGCCAAAACGCAGACAGCCAAAACGCAGACAGGACAAAACGCAGACAGCCAAAACGCAGACAGGACAAAACGCAGACAGCCAAAACACAGACAGCCAAAACGCAGACAGCCAAAACGCAGACAGCCAAAACGCAGACAGCCAAAACGCAGACAGGACAAAACGCAGACAGCCAAAACACAGACAGCCAAAACGCAGACAGCCAAAACGCAGACAGCCAAAACGCAGACAGCCAAAACACAGACAGCCAAAACGCAGACAGCCAAAACGCAGACAGCCAAAACACAGACAGCCAAAACGCAGACAGCCAAAACGCAGACAGCCAAAACACAGACAGCCAAAACGCAGACAGCCAAAACGCAGACAGCCAAAACGCAGACAGCCAAAACGCAGACAGGACAAAACGCAGACAGCCAAAACACAGACAGCCAAAACGCAGACAGCCAAAACGCAGACAGCCAAAACGCAGACAGGACAAAACGCAGACAGCCAAAACACAGACAGCCAAAACGCAGACAGCCAAAACGCAGACAGCCAAAACACAGACAGCCAAAACGCAGACACGGAATATGCAGACACCGAATATGCTGACACCACTGAATATGCAAACAGCCACAACCATCTCATAACTCTAACTTTATTCTTCCCATCCGAAATACAACTGCTGGTACAAGCACAGGAGAAGATCATTTTTGGGATGTTTGAGGATTGGAGATTTTGGGATGGTGCGAAGATATGCGAAAGTTTTCATCGCTGTCGAATTAGGTGAATCAGGTGTCTGCATATTCGGTGTCTGCATATTCGGTGTCTGCATATTCAGTGTCTGCGTTTTGGCTGTCTGCGTTTTGGCTGTCTGCGTTTTGGCTGTCTGCATTTTGGCTGTCTGCGTTTTAGCATTCTGCGTTTTGGGTGTCTGCATTTTGGACTTTTCCCGGCTAGCAGAGATTCTTTGAGGAACTGGAGGGGATGGAGGGGCAGGCTAGCAGAGATTATTTGAGGAACTGGAGGGGATGGAGGGGCAGGCTAGCAGAGATTCTTTGAGGAATTGGAGGGGTGGAGGGGGCAGGCTAGCAGAGATTCTTTGAGGAATTGGAGGGGTGGAGGGGGCAGGCTAGCAGAGATTCTTTGAGGAATTGGAGGGGTGGAGAGGGCAGGCTAGCATAGATTCTTCGAGGAACTGGAGGGGATGGAGGGGGCAGGCTAGCAGAAATTCTTTGAGGAATTGGAGGGGCAGGCTAGCAGAGATTCTTTGAGGAATTGGAGGGGTGGAGGGGCAGGCTAGCAGAGATTCTTTGAGGAATTGGAGGGGTGGAGAGGGCAGGCTAGCATAGATTCTTCGAGGAACTGGAGGGGATGGAGGGGGCAGGCTAGCAGAAATTCTTTGAGGAATTGGAGGGGCAGGCTAGCAGAGATTCTTTGAGGAATGTTCGCGTTTCTGCTTTCAAAATAAATCGATTTCAGGTACCTGCTGCGGGCAGCGCGCCCTCTACGAGATTGGGTTGACCGGAATTCCGATTTTCAACGTAATATTTGATATTATCTAATCTAATCAATTGTATTTTTTTTCTTGAAAAGTAGAATTTAATTTGAATCGAAATATTTAGGTAAATAACGCGTGTGCTTCCGGGTCTTCAGGCGTGTTTTTGTGCAAGCAGATCCTCGAATCTGGTATGTAAATAATTTCAAAGAATTGTTATAAAAATTATTTGAATAACTTTTTATCAAAACACTAGCAATTTTAGTGAAAAAATTTTGAGATTTTGGTTTCGATGTTCTTTAGGAAATGCCGACGTGGTGTTAGCATGTGGTTTCGAGAAAATGGCCGCCGGCTCGTTGGAGAACATGGGCGGAAAACTCGATGACCGTGCCCTGTCTGTCGACAATCATATCCAGGTTGGCGGGCAGGCTAGCAGAGATTGTTGCGGAATTTCGGGGTTCGGGCAGGCTAGCAGAGGCCCTTTGAGAAAAACGCGAAGTCAGGCAAGCTAGCAAAGACGTTTTGAGAAAATGCGGCAAGCCAACAGAGATTTTTACGGCATTTGAAAGGCAGGCAAGATAGCAGAGATTCTTGGGGAATTAGAAAGATAGGATCGGACGGCGCGAGGGCTAGCAGAGACTATTTGGGAATTTCGGAAGCTCGGCAAGCTAGCAGACAAGCTTTGAGAAAACCGAGCCGGGCGGGCGGGCTAACAGAGATTTTTTTTGAGGAAATTGGAGTTTTGGGCAAGCTAGCAGAGATTATTTGAGGAAACGAGGCATAAGGCGGTTAGCAAGAATCAATTAGGAATTTTTGAGCCTGGTCAGGCTGGCTAGCAGAAGTTCTTTAGGAATTAGAAAAAGACAGCATCGGTCGAAATTTCCTTTTGCGTTTTAATTCGGAAAATTGGACCCGGGCAAGCTAGAAGAGATCATTTTGTCAAAAACGAAACCTCGGGTGGGCTAGCAGAAATTATTTGTGGATTTTATAGGTCCAGGTTGGCTAGCGGAGTCTATTTTGGAATAAGTACAACGGCCAGGAACCTGAAGCGGCCCGGCCGAGTTTTTAGGGTAGCGTAAGGCCTGGCAAGCTAGCAGAGATCAATTGGGAAGTTTACCTTAGCTGTAGGCTAATTTTTAAGGTGATGGCCGATACCTACGGTCTATTCCCCGCCCCGATCACCGCCCAAATGTTCGGCAACGCTGGCAAGGAGCATATGGAGAAATATGGTGGGTTTAAAGGGACAAAGACGCACGAAAGTCGTCTCTTCCTTTTGACTAGGTCTCGACGGCTACGCGACACGCCAAATGACGCGGATCTATCCAATTTTTTGCCGCAAAAAATGGAATGCTTCACAAGGGTCACGGACGCTTTCAAGTGTCATTTGTCGCGTCGCGTAGTTGTCGGGACCTAGTCGATATGGGGGTCGATTTTTAGCCTTCTAGTCCCCTTTAAAATCCGCTTAAACAAAAATTATCACTTGTTTCAGGCACGAAGCGCGAACACTTTGCCAAGATTGCCCACAAGAACCACCTGCACTCCGTTCACAATCCGTAAGCTCCGAGGAAAGGGTACGGTAACTGGAGTAATTTTTAGGAAATCGCAGTTCACGAAGGAGTTCAGCTTAGATCAGGTGCTGAATGCTCGCCAAATTTATGACTTTATGGGACTGCTGGAGTGCAGGTAGGGGGAGGACTACGAAGTACAACTTCCCCGTTCCAGCCCTACTTCCGATGGGTCGGCTGCCGCAGTGCTGTGCTCGGAGCGCTACCTGGAGGCCCATCCTCATCTCAGGCCACAGGCTGTCGAGATTGTTGGTGGGTGGGAGAGAGCGAGCGAGCGAGAGAGAGAGCGAGACAGACAGAGAGAGGGAGAGAGCGAGAGAGACAGAGACAGAGAGAGAGAGAGAGAGAGAGAGAGAGAGAGAGAGATACTCACGGAGCTAGATAAAACGAGTAAATGAGTGCGCGAGTGAGTGAGAGGGAGGCGTGAGGAGAGAGAGCGAGAGAGATTTGATAGAGAGAGAACAGGAACAAGGGAAAGAGAGCCTGAGAGAGCGTGAGCTAGGGATATTTGATGAGCTAGAGAAAGCGAGTAAATGAGTGAGTGAGCGAGAGAGCAAGAGTGAAAGAGAGAGTGAGGGTGCGAGAGAGTGAAAGAGCGGAAGGCGGCGAGCGAGAGATACCGAAAATTTTCCATATTTTATAGGCTTCCAGCTGGGCACTGATCAGCCATCCGTCTTTGCCGAGAACTCGAACATCAAGATGATTGGCTTTGACATGATCCAGAAAATTGCCCAAAATCTATATAAGGAGACCGGACTCACGCCGAATGATGTTCAGGTGAGGAATTCGGCTTTCGGGCTTTCTGCTACCTTTACAATTGACCTAAGTGTTTTTTAGGTAATCGAGCTTCACGACTGCTTCGCGCCGAACGAGCTGATCACGTACGAGGCGCTGGGATTGTGCCCGATTGGTAAGGAAATCTGGCGATATTTCCCCATTTTCCTTCTCTGTCTTACGCTCTCGTTCCTTCCCTATCTCTCTCGCCCTATCTATTTCTTTCTCGCTCTCTCTCCCTCTCGCTCTCTCGCTCTCTAACCCTCATTCTTCAGGAAAAGCTGGCGAGCTGATCGATCGTGGCGATAATACCTATGGTGGAAAGTGGGTGATCAACCCCAGCGGGGGGCTCATTTCCAAGGGACACCCCATCGGAGCAACAGGTAGACTAACAGGGATTTTTAGAAATTTTTGAAGAACAAGAATCAGGCTAGAAGACCGGCAGGCTAGCAGAAATCCGTTGGGAAAACTTGCATGGCTGGAAGGTGGCTGGTTAGCAGTGATTCTTGCGGAAGGGAAAATAATAAAATAAAAGCTAGCAGAGGTTTTTGCGGACCAAATGCTAATGGGAGCCGCATCCAGTAAATCCAGAGCGTGGAGGCTAGCAGAGAACATTGAGGGAATTAGGAACCATTTGGCATCGAAGTGAGGGCTAGGAAATCGGGTAGGCTAGCAGGGATCATTAAAGCAAAATGGTTCTGACGGATTCGTTTAGTGAGCAGACTAAAAGAGACCTTTGAGAATCGGAAACATGTCAAATTTTGCCTTTTCAGGCGTGGCCCAGGTCGTCGAGCTGTCCAACCAGCTGCGTGGAAGGTGCGGGAAGCGCCAAGTGCCGAACGCTCGGGTTGCTATGCAGCACAACATTGGTAAATCCTTAAGAAATTGATTTTTAGCCTGTTCTGCTTCCAGAAAAAAGTTATTTTGTTTTAGGCATCGGAGGGGCCGGCGTGGTGGCGATGTACAGACTTGCTGGAGGCGCCGGAAGTTCACCAGCTGCTCGTGTGAGTTAGAGAGAAAAGGAGAGAGTGAGCTAGAGAGAAAGTGCTTGAGAGCGAGTAGGAGAGAAAAAGAGCGACAAATATAGAGAGAGAGAGAGAGAGAGAGAGAGAGAGAGAGAGAGAGAGAGAGAGGGAGAGAGAGATGGTGAGAAAAAGTTAAGAGAGAGAACGCAAGAGAGATAGAGATAGAGAGAGAGAGAGAGAGAGAGTGAGTGAGTGAGAGAATGCGAGAAACGAGAAAGAGAGAGAGAACGAGAGAGAGAGAGGGAAAAGAAAGAGAGGGGGAGAGAGAGAGAGGGAGCTAAAGATCCCCCAATTCTTATCCATTTTCCAGACCCCAGCCGCTTCCGGAGCCTCCCTGAAGAGTGACGTCATCTTCGACGAGATCAAGGAACGAATCCATACCGTCAGTTTTAGATGCTTTTAGATTCTCAATACCTAAACCTACCTTTGGCGGCCAGCAACCTGGCACGCCCCCTTTGATCCACAAAATCGATTTTTTTTCAGGAAAAAGATCTGGTCCAAAAAGTGAGCACCTCCTTCGGGATCACCATCTCCGGGGCGAACGGTGTCACGAAGAAGTGGTTCATCGACACCAAGGCGTCGCCGCCATACGTCGGAAATCAGTACGTTGTGCTAAGTAGATCGGGCGTATTTAAAGGGACCAGCAAGGCTTCGTTATGGATTTTGCTGGTTTTGGATTCGTGGTTCGGAACGCTGCGCCTCCGACACGCAACGCGCACGTAATCGATTAGGCAATGTAAGCAGGCGTATGCGTGCGTAGCGAGAGTATACAAAATTCGTACAAAAAAAAATCGTGGGTTGCCTCGCCGGCACCTCTAAAGGGGGTGACAATTGCGAGAATCGACTCTTCCAATCGATTAGGTTACGCTGCGTGTCACGCAAAATCCATAGCGATAAACCGTAGCTATTCCTTGTAAGTGACTTTGAAGGGCGAGTGAAGTACTACCGGTTTTTGTAAAATTTGAATGATGAGTTTTTTAGGGAGCGCCCAACTGAGATTTCGGTAACCGTATCCGATGAGTCGTTCATGCAGATCGCTTCTGGGGCCTTGAAGCCGGATCAGGTGAGAGAGCGAGAGAGAGAGAGTTAACAAACGTGAGAGAGGGAGAGATAGGGAATGAGAGTCAGAGAGAGAGAGAGACAGAGAGAGGAGAACACCGATTTATCATTTTCAGGCCTTCATGCAAGGCAAAATGAAGCTGAAGGGCAACATTGCCAAGGCCATGAAACTCCGCCAACTCCTCGACCCCAAACTCCTCAAGGCCAAGATCTAACGGCTTAAAGGCCCGCTGAAGCCACCATTTTCATGTATTTATTAGAATTTTTGCCGACAGAATAAAGCTGTTTTTTCAAAACGATGGAATGTCAGTGGAATTGAAAAATAAGAAAGAGTTAGAATTTTCTCATCGCCTCGTGCCGTCCTGGAAAAAGACGCCGCCGTCGATGGCGCAGTATTTGGGGCAGATGCCTTGATTTCCGAGGATGCCTGAAAAGATTTCTCTCCCGCTCTCTCTCTCTCTCTCTCTCTCTCTCTCGCTCTTCTACTTACCGACTTTCCCTCCAGGACCAGCAGCACCATTTTTGCCATCAAGCCCAGGTACTCCAGGCGGTCCAGGCGGACCGGGCGGGCCTGAAATGGGTGTATTTCGTAGCTTTTTTCAGACGATTTCCAACAAAATAGTAAAATGCATCCTATTTCGATAAAACATCCGGCAAATAAAAACTGGCCCAGTGGTCCCGCTCCATAGGTTGGTCCCGGCATGCCATCGTGTCCCTTCGGGCCCATCCCGCCCATCTGTCCCATGCCACCCATCGAGCCGGGCATCTGAGAGCCATTTTGTTCACGAGAATTTTGCTTCGTGGTCCCTTAGAACCCTAGAAAGTGTCAAAAAGCAAGCTAGCAGCGATTCTTGAGGAGACTGAGCTTGAAAGGTGCTCGAAAGAATAATAGAAATCCAAAAAAATTCACTGCGAGCCCTGAGCATCTCCGCCAATTCCTCAAAGAATCTCTGCTAGCCTGCCCCCTCCATCCCTCGAATTCCTCGAAGAATCTCTGCTAGCATGCCCCTTCCCTCCCCTTCAATTCCACAACTAATCCTATACCGGTTGGTTCGATTCCGCATCCTTCCCTGGCTTTCCGGGAGTTCCGATACCTCCAGGACGTCCACTACCACCGGGGGCACCTTTTGGGCCCGTCGGACCGGGCTGGCCGTTTGCTAAAATGCTTTCACGCACCTTAGAAACTCCCAACCTCCAGGCGGTCCAGGAGGGCCAGCCTTTCCGGACATTCCGATGACCCCAGCGGGCCCTTTAGGGCCCAGCTGGGCCCCTGGGGCACGGCTTGCAGGGTGGGGGCGTCAGGGTGTCGCAGGGGAGGAGGGCTTGCCTAAAAAAGCTCTACCAAGCTTTAAACCGGCTTGGAAGCGGAAATATGGCCACGAAATTGGTTTTTCCTGCAAAACGCTGCTAGCTTACCTGCCAGGGATCCCGGGTACGCCGTGAGCGCCGGGAATTCCAGGTTTTCCGGAATTTCCGGGCCGGCCTGCTGGGCCAGGTGGTCCGGGCCGGCATATCATTTTTGAAGACGATTCGCCAGGGCCTAAAATGGTAAAAAAATTCAATAAAATATTTTAAAGTTAAAATCCAGAAAAGACGAGCGGTCATGCTCCCCTTAAGAGACAGAACGGCATGAGCGGCACGCAACGCGGCAGGAAGTACGACACGCGACGCGCCAGGCGAAGTGGCACGCGACGCGCAAAGTTGCAGCTACCGCGACACACAACGCGACACGCCACGCGGCACACAACGCTACCAGCAACGCGGTGCGCGATGCGACTTGAACCCAACATGCAACGCGACACGCGAACGCGACACGCGACACGCAACACGCGACACGCAACGCTTGACCCCTGGCCGCCGTGTTTCGTAAGCGATTACGTCATGAAAACGTCACGGCGGCGTCGCGTGTTCCCTGCGATTCTGACGCCATAACGATTCCGCAGCTATCGAATCCATAGACCTGCCTTGCCAGCCCCCTTTAAAAACCTTGACCTACCTCCGACCGCCCCAGCCAATTGCGTCAACGATGGAGCTGCAGATGGAGGAGCGGCGGAAGCAACTGAGCTTGAGGTCGAGCTTGAGCTTGAGCCCGAGCTTGCCGTAGTTGGCATCATAGAATCCATGTCATCCGGTTTCGCCAGTTTTTCTGTCACTTCGGTTTCTTGTCCGTATCCGGCAGCGCTGGCTTCTGGAGCAAGAACTTTTCCGGAAGCTGGAACCTGAGTTTCGGACGTCATCTTCGGAATTTCTGGCGTTGTTGGCTCAGAATCGTAGCTTTCGGGAGCGACGGAAGCTGCTTCAAGAGTCACGGTAGTGGCATCCGATTTTACGTCAATTTCAGAGGTCGGGGGAGTGGCATCAGGTTGCGTCTCGTAGCCGCTCTCGGCGCGTGAAAATCTGAACGAGAACTTATAGAGAAATTTCCTCAAAGAATCTCTGCTAGCCTGCCCCCTCGATCCCCTTCAATTCCTCAAAGAATCTCTGCTAGCCTGCCCCCTCCATCCCCTCCAATTCCTCAAAGAATCTCTGCTAGCCTGCCCCCTTCCATCCCCTCCAATTCCACAAAGAATCTCTGATAGCCTGCCCCCTCCATCCCCTCCAATTCCTCAAAGAATCTTTGCTAGCTTCCCCTCTTCATCCTCACCTTTCCACCATCTCCTGCTTGCTCATTTTCCGCTTCCTCACGACAAATCGGCGGCCAGATTTTAAGGTGACAATTTGTTGAATGATCGATTCAAAATCCGGGATTTTTGTTGGTTTATTAGTTGTAGTTGTGGTCGTAGTTGTAGTTGTACTCGTAGAAGTTGTTGAATCGTCTAACTCCTCGAAATAGTGGAAAATCTCCTCGTCGTCCGTCTTCTTCTGACCCCTTTTAGGGTCGAGTTTTGACTCTCCGACTCTAAAAAAGTTAAGACAATTGTTAAAAAATTGTTTAATGGGCCAGGAAGCACGAAAATCGACCCCCAGCGTTGACTAGGTCTCGACAGCTATGAGAGGCTCCAAAAGACACGCAGGTTTCGTGATTTTCAGGCCTTTTCGACCTGGTGTGAGCCTAAACCCACAAATGGCTTTCCAGACGTCATTTGGAGCATTGCGAAGCTGCCGAGACCTAGTGGATGAAAGGACTTGATTTTGGCGCTTCTTAACTGTTTTAGTCGGCAACTTATGGGCGCATTAATGACTTAATCTGCCCCGCTTTTGCGACTTATTTCAGCTGCTTTTCTCCATTTTTAATGACGGCCGTTAGATCGATTGAATGGACCCTAAAAATACGTAATAAGACTTAGAGCTTTATGCTTCAAGTATTCTATCCTTCAGCTATTCTTTAAAAAAGTTCTTTTTAAAAATCAATGATCAAAAACCATTTACCTCTTTACGTCTGCACTGCCAAAACCATTCCTCTTCTTTAATTTTGCCAGCAATTCCATTTTTTTGTTCGACAATTTCTTTGATTTTTCCTTCTAAAAAATTTTGATGGAATCCTAAATTTTGGCCCAGATACCGTAGTCCCACTTTCCAGGGGTCGAATTTTGGCCGAGGCGGCTTTCAAGAGTCTTTCAAGTCGACCAGCATCCCGCAAACCTAAATTAAAAATTAGCTGTAGAACCACAATTCGTAGATTTTTAGAGTACCTTTTGCCTTGCAAATTCCTTCAAAGCTGCAAAATTAACCTTCAACTTCAAAAACCTTCATTGAGTCGTCGAGCCTGCTGGATCGGGTGGTTCGGTTGCGGCCGAGAAGTTGGAGCAGTTCAAGCTGCTCTTCTAGGTCGCTTAGAAGCTCCTAAAGGATGGACTTTTGATTCTCAACGAAACTCTGCCAGCCTGCCCCTCCATCCACTCCAATTCCTCAAAGAATCTCTGCTAGCCTGCCCCTTATTCCGCACCAATTCCTCAAAGAATCTCTGCTAGCCAGCCCCCTCCATCCCCTCCAATTCCTCAAAGAATCTCTGCTAGTTTGTCCTCTCCATCCGCTCCAATTCCTCAAAGAATCTCTGCTAGCCTGCCCCTTCCATCCCCTCCAATTCCTCAAAGAATCTATGCTAGTTTGTCCTCTCCATCCGCTCCAATTCCTCAAAGAATCTCTGCTAGCCTGCCCCTTCCATCCCCTCCAATTCCTCAAAGAATCTCTGCTAGTTTACCTTGCAATTCATCGCCTTCTTCTCGACATCTCGTTGTGCTCTATTCAGTCGTAAACTGATTGTTGGCAACGTCACGCCAAGAGATACTAGGGCGATTACGGTAGCCGTTGTGGAGACCCAGAGCGCGATATGGTAAGCGGCAGCACGGTCTTTCATCTGACTAAAATGGTCTTGGACAGTTATACATAAGAATAGACAATTTGATTGAAAATTTGAAAAAAATCCTCAAAATGGCGGCCCGAGCGTGCTAAAATACGAGATGATTCATCTTATTTTTCGTGGATTTTTGCTTATTCCCTTGTTTTTAGTCTGGTCCTCGAAAAATCTAAAAAACCCTGGACGCCAGAGTTGGCGTCTGAATAAAAAAAAATAGTCACGTTTGTTTTGCTTCGCGTAAGAACATCATTGGGGGAGGAGAAGCCTAACTTTTTCGCTCCATTTCCATCCCATTTTTTTTTGAAAGATTTTTATTTCTTTTTAATAGTTTTAGCGTAAGACTATGGCATATAGATTTAATTTTATTATGCTAGTTTTTGTAAAATATTAAAAATCGTTGAGGAAGCGTTAGGTAAGAGTTTACTTTACCCCCCACAGCCGAAGGGTCTCAAAGTTTTCGGTATTTTCGCTTATTTTGTCGGGATTTTTTCAACGCGATGCGGTAGAGCGTCGAAAAATATACTAAGAATTTTAATTTGAGCCTACAATAATGTTAAATAAAAAAGTTATAGCCAAAAACTTCCGGCTGGGGGTAAAGTAAACCGTAGCCAAGCGTTATTACCCCACCTACTTGTAAAATAGCACAAATTGCTAAGAAAAGAAATGTGGAAAATATAAATCTATTTTTAAAACGGATGCACAGGGCTCCTTGGAAAAAGGAATGCGCTACTGAAAAAGTGGAATGGCGAATTACGCCCGAGGCCTACTTTGATCCGATCTCGTCGCCTCAATCCACTACCCCCAAAACCAGATCAAAATCGCCCTCATTTCCCTCTCGAGCCCCGTTTGTTTTCGCTGGTATTTATGGATGTCGATGGAATTTGCTGAAAAACAAAGTTCAAAAGAAGCAAAACTACAGTCTTGAACGTTTGTAAAGTAAAAAACTACCGCGGAATTAGCATAAAACTGGAACGTCCATTTCCGATTGGTTTCCCCCGAAATTTGCATAAAATTGTTTGAAATATCGAAAGTGAGCTAAAAAATTTCCTCACTTCCCTCGGCCAGTTTGCCACCAGACGGTAGGTTTTTCGGCTTTTTTTTGGGTGTTTTTAAAGGAGCATTGAAGGCGGCTACGGTTTACTTTACCCCCCCCCCTCAACCGGAAGGTTTTGGCTATAACTTTTTTATTTTACATTATTGTAGGCTCAAATTAAAACTCTTAGTATATTTTTCGACGCTCTATCGAATGGCGTTGCAAAAAATCTCGACAAAATAAGCGAAAATACCGACAACTTTGAGACCCTTCGGCTGTGGGGGGGGGGGAGAAAGTAAACTCTTACCGCCAAAAATGATCAATTTCTACATAGGCAAAATGGTGGTTATGTGGCCGGCGCTTCTCCTGCTGCTCCATCTCCATCATGCCGTCGATGCTCAATGTGGGGAAAGATTGGATTTTAGGGCAGGCTAGCAGCGATTCTTTAGGAACCCTAGGGCTCGGACAACTTAATAAGAAGCATAGATTCCAGGGATAACTAGCAAAGATTCTTTGGGGAAGAGGACACTGAAAAATCCGATTTTGGGGCAGCTAGCAGGGATCCTTTAGGAAATCCGCCTACTCGCTCTCATTTAGCCGTACCTCCAAGAACCGTTGCGCCTGCAGCGCCGGTGTCTCCGGCGGCGAAACCGGCGAACCTTTCTTCGACGTCTTCAAAGGCTTCGGTCGCTTCGGTGACTTCGACCACTTCGACGGCTTCAACTTCTACGACGGCTTCGACCAAAATACCTTCTACAAGCTCTTCCACGACTGCGAAAAGTTCATCATCGTCTACTACTGCTGCATCCACAACTGCTTCTACCGCGGGAACTTCAGCGGCACCGACATTAACACGTGAGTGGTTTTCAAGCAATTTCGATCTGTCCTTGTCCCTTTAAAGCGTCCGAAAAGTAGAAGTCACGAAATTTTTGGGCCGTAGTGGTGCGGCGCGACTGCTAGACGTTCAAGTTAACAGATTACTGGCCACAGAGTCGCGTGAAAGCGTCTGTTTCTCGGGTCCCTAGGGATACGCGCGGCGACCGCAAGACACCCATCTTACCTAGCAGTCGCTGTCCCTTTAAAATATCGGAAAAAATGGACGTCACCAAATTTTTGGTCCGTTTCGCCGTCCAGGGCTAGCTGCCGGCAACACATTTGGAAAGCTACACGTGCACAGTGCGTGCCGTTTTCTCTGGTCTTTAGCGATACGCGACGCGACCGCAACGCACCGACCTCCTAGCTGTCGCTGTCCCTTTAGAACGTGGCAAAAGGTCGGCGTCTCGAAATTTTTTGTTCGTCCAACGCTAGCTGGCCGCGGCACGTTTTCGACGCGGCGCGGCTGCGTTGCGTATCCTTTCCTATATTCTCTAGCGATACGCGACGCGAACGCAACGCTACGGCGATTCGTTCAACCCCAGTTTCAGGCTGCAACGGCGACGACGTGGCGTGCCCGGCGGCCAATGGAACTCGAGTGTGCACCCCGATCGACCTGATGCTCAACAAGACGACCTGTGAAATTCGAGGTTGGGGGATAACTCAAAAATCGGATCGGAATCTATTTTCAGGCTGTCCGAAAGGCCAGGCCCCGATCCACGTGGGAACGAATCAGACGCTGACGTGCGTCCCGCTGACAATACTCAGCGGTGGACTGTTGCCGTCGATGTGGCAGTTTGCCGGTAATTGTGGTTCTAGACTGTTAGCGGGGGGGGAGTGGATCTAGAGGAAGTGGAAAAGTTACCCATCTCGTAAAATACGTTTTAAAGTATTTTCAACAGTTTTTAGCTACTAAATAGGGCTTGAAATTGGTGCTGGACTATTAGCGGGGGGGGGGGAGTAATTTGTGTTCATGTGTTGGACCATTTAATTTATCTAATAATAAATAATATATTTTTATGACGTTTTTAGCATTTTTTTAGTGCTAGAAACGCCTAAAAATATTGTATACTTTTGAACAATGGAAAATTTTTGGTGTTTTAGGTAACGTTTCATGGATTTTTTACCAAAAAGTAATTTCGAAAATTTTGAAGATTTATTTTATGAGCTTTTTGCTATCGAAAAATTGTGTGAAATGCTGAGCAAAATGGTTTGTATATTTTATAGGGTCATAGAAGATAACTAGGAATTTGCTCAGCCCCCCCCTGCTAAGAGTTCAGTACCCTTGTGTTTTCAGTCGTCATTCAAGGGGATGTCATTGCCCTCCTTTTCAGCCTGCTCGACGATGCAGGGATACCTGAACTGCGGTGGCGAGTGGCCGATATGTGTGGGCGGCCGGAAAGTGATTTCATACAGCAACGGGACGTGTACCATGCCGGGTACGGTAGTTTCCACCTTGTTTTGTAGGCCGGAAAAATGAGAGGAATGTCCTTCCGATTTCCGCTTTTTAGAATGCCCCAACCAGCCCGGCTACCACCAATGCGCCGTGAACTCGACGAAACGCGTCTGCCTCCCCCATGCCATCCTATCGAACCTGCAGGGCGCCGATTTGTGCTCCATCGCCAATCCGGCTAATATTACAGGTGGGGCTCTCTCGCTTTCTCTCTCTCTCTCTCTCTCTCTCTCTCTCTCTGTCTGTGTCTCTCTCCCACTCTCTGTCTTTCTCACTATGTCTCTCCCACTCTCTTGTTTTCTCTCCCTCTCTCGCTGTCCCTCTCTCTCTCTCGCTCTCGCTCGCTCTCTCTCTCTCTCTCGCTCTCTCGCTCTCGCTCTGTGTCTGTCTAATTCACTCGATTTTCAGTCCTCCACTCTCCAGCACCCAACTGCCTCCCCTACAAAGATACGGTGGCCTGCTCGAACTCGAACGGGACGCAGTACGCTTGCGTGCACTACACGCAACTGGTCAACGTTTCCGGTGGCGGCTCCGTAGGGCTCCAGTGTACGGGGTCTGGTCGGTTTTGTAGTAACAGTCCAGTACCGACCTTTTTGCAGAGTGCAAAGCCGCCGGCGAGCTGTTCTGCAACGGGACGTGCCTAAACGTGGACGACGTGGACGCGGTGGGCCCCGACGGACAATGTAGATGTAGGAAAATGACCAATTTCAGGCACTAACCTTACCCAATTACAGTACACCCCAAGCCACCACCGGAGCCGGCCAACGCACCGGAGGTGATCGTGAAAAAACGTGCGTTTCTAGCTGTCACCCGCCCTTTAAAAGCAATTTAGCAAAGGCGGCCCAGATGCACGCCGACTACACGGCCGTCAACATTCTCATCATGGTCTTTTTGGGGATTCTGGCGCTGCTCGCCGTGCTGGCTGTCATCGTGTATTTTGGTGGGTGGCTAGCAGAGATTCTTTGAGGAATTGGAGGGGATGGACGGGGGCAGGCTAGCAGAGATTCTTTGAGGAATTGGAGGGGATTGAGGGGGCAGGCTAGCAGAGATTCTTTGAGGAATTGGAGGGGATTGAGGGGGCAGGCTAGCAGAGATTCTTTGAGGAATTGGAGGGATGGAGGGGCAGGCTAGCAGAGATTCTTTGAGGAATTGGAGGAGATTGAGGGGGCAGGCTAGCAGAGATTCTTTGAGGAATTGGAGGGGATGGACGGGGGCAGGCTAGCAGAGATTCTTTGAGGAATTGGAGGGGATGGAGGGGGCAGGCTAGCAGAGATTCTTTGAGGAATTGGAGGATGGACGGGGCAGGCTAGCAGAGATTCTTTGAGGAATTGGAGGGGATGGAGGGGCAGGCTAGCAGAGATTCTTTGAGGAATTGGAGGGATGGACGGGGGCAGGCTAGCAGAGATTCTTTGAGGAATTGGAGGGGATTGAGGGGGCAGGCTAGCAGAGATTCTTTTGAGGAATTGAGGGGATTGAGGGGGCAGGCTAGCAGAGATTCTTTGAGGAATTGGAGGGGATGGAGGGGGCAGGCTAGCAGAGATTCTTTGAGGAATTGGAGGAGATTGAGGGGGCAGGCTAGCAGAGATTCTTTGAGGAATTGGAGGGGATGGACGGGGCAGGCTAGCAGAGATTCTTTGAGGAATTGGAGGGGATGGAGGGGGCAGGCTAGCAGAGATTCTTTGAGGAATTGGAGGGGATGGACGGGGGCAGGCTAGCAGAGATTCTTTGAGGAATTGGAGGGGATGGAGGGGGCAGGCTAGCAGAGATTCTTTGAGGAATTGGAGGGGATGGACGGGGGCAGGCTAGCAGAGATTCTTTGAGGAATTGGAGGGGATGGAGGGGGCAGGCTAGCAGAGATTCTTTGAGGAATTGGAGGGGATGGACGGGGCAGGCTAGCAGAGATTCTTTGAGGAATTGGAGGGGGATGGAGGGGGCAGGCTAGCAGAGATTCTTTGAGGAATTGGAGGGGATGGACGGGGGCAGGCTAGCAGAGATTCTTTGAGGAATTGGAGGGGATGGGGGGGGCAGGCTAGCAGAGATTCTTTGAGGAATTGGAGGGGATTGAGGGGGCAGGCTAGCAGAGATTCTTTGAGGGATTGGAGGGGAGGGACGGGGGCAGGCTAGCAGAGATTCTTTGGGGAATTGTTTTGCGTCAGAAGGGCATCTATTTCAGCGCTGAAACGATCCGCGAAGAACAAAAAGAAAAAGAAGAGCACCAGCTCGGAACACACGTACGGCTCCGATCCGGAACCGCCGGTCAAAAAGAAGAAGAGCACCAAGAGTGGGGAATTCAGAATTTATGGAAATTTTTGAATTTTCAGGCGACAAGGAGGACAATCTCGACCCGGCGTTCCTGACTGTCATTGTGAGAACATTTCTCTCTTCTCTCTCTCTCTCTCTCTCTCTCTCTCTCTCTCTCTCTCGCTCTCGCTCCTTTGCATACTCTCTCTCCCGTGCTCTCGCTCTCTCTCTCTCTGGATGCCACTGTCTCTGTCACTCTCTCTCTCTCTCTCTCTCTCTCTCTCTCTCTGTCTCTCTCTCCCTCTCACTCTCACCCACTCTCCCGCTCTCTCTCTCCCTTTAATCTTACCCTCTTTTCAGGACGACAAGGCGAGCCACGCGGCGTCGGCGATACGCTCCACCCACTGAACGCCATCGATTACACGGCAATATCATCCACAAAAACGGGCTATTTTCTTTTTCTGCCCTCTTCACCATTGCCTCCCTCTCTATCCCCCCATTCGTTCTCTATCACTTGTTGTATCTCGTGTGCTCATTTCGCTTGCATCTGCTGCTGCTCTGTGCTGTTCTCGCCTCGTAAAGGTTTTCTTCCCAAAATAAAGGTGTATTTTGGTGCTTGAAGAACTGGCATAGGCCTGGAAAGCGGTCCTAACGGGACTGGCAAGGCTGCGCGATGCCCTTTTTGATGTTTAGGTAAGCGTCCTGGATTTGTTTTCCGCGGCTGCGCGTACTTGTTCTCCGTGGAAAAGAATACGTAATTGGTTACGGAATGGAATTGTACGCATAAGCTTTTCTTAAGCCTAAGCTTATTCTTCGCCTAAACTTAAGCCTAGGCTTAAGCGTATCCTAAGCCCAGGCTTAAGCCTAGGCCTCGCCTAAGCCCAAGTTTCAGCTTAAGCCTAAAACTAAGCCGAAGCTAAAGCTAAAGTCGAAGCCAAAGTCTAAGCCTATCCTAAGCCCAAGCTTGAGCCTAAGCCTAAGCCTAACCTAAGCCCACGCTAAGGCTAAGCCCAAACCTAAGCCTAAGCCTAAGCTTAAGCCTACGCATAAACTTAAGCCTAAGCCTGAACCTAAGCCGATGCCTAACAAGGAGTCGCTTTTAGGTGCTTTTGGAGTTTCGGGACGGGACTTAGCTAGTTCGATAGAGAAAAAAAATTCTGAGCAACATCCCGTTTTCAAAAAGTACTGATCGATAAAGCTGTTTTCGAAAATATAATTTAAAGTTCGCGCTTTTTTCTAGTTTTCGGGTCCATTTCCTCGGTTCGCGTCGTCGTCGGGGCTCGACCGGGCACCATTCATAACCCTCCGCCAAAGCGTCCATCCCAGGTTGAATTGGCGTATTGGTAGCGCGCTTGCCTACCAACTTTTTAACATTTTTTTTGCCTCGGGTTCGAATCTTCGCGCTCGCTAACCCTTTGCTTTTTGGTTCTTGAGCCCGTTATCGGTGCATAAAATTTTAATTAGCAAAAAAGCAAAGAGTTAACGATAAAGAAGAATCGAACTTGTGGCAAAAGGTCAAAAAAAAACTTCGTAGGCCATCGCACTAACCACTTGGCCATGCCTAGGACGGGATCCAAGGCGCCTGGAGTCCTCATGTGGCAGGGGCGATCGACCGCCGCAAATAACCTCAAATCACCACAAGGGTCCGGACACCGGGAACATTTTTAGTTAAATTAAATTTTCTAAAACAGCTTTATCGATCAGCACTTTTTGAAAACGGGATGTTGCTCAAAATTTTTTTCTCTATCGAACTAGCTAGGTCCCGTCCCGAAACTCCAAAAGCACCTAAAAGCGACTCCTTGTAAGCCGAAGCCTAAAGCTAAGCCTAAGTCTAGGCCTAAGCCTGCCCTAAGCCCAGGCTTAAGCCTAAGCCTAAACAGAAGCCTAAGCCTAAACTTAAGCCTAAGCCTAAGCCCAAACCTATGCCTAAGCCTAAGCTCATATGGCTATCCATGCGGTCAAGCAGCGGCTGATTCCACGCTGATTTAAATAAATATATATTTATTCCACGCGCCCCGGCGGGCAATCTCGGGATCGAAACCCGTAAATGTAAATAGTTGTCTATCGTCGTGTGCCGTCCTCGAAAAAGATGCCCCCATCGATGGAACAGTACTTGGGGCAGATGCCCATCTCTCCGAGCGCTCCGTCCTTTCCGGAAGTTCCGTCCGTTCCGGCTTTTCCGGGGTTGCCGGGCGCGCCGGGAGGGCCCTGAAATGGTTGACTCATCTCGAGCAAGCTAGCCAAGTGCCTTGGGAAAGTTCGGTCCTAAAATTTATTTGAAACTTGTGAAGAAGCTGGGCTAAATTTTTTAATAAAAACCCTGTATAAAACTTAAAGTTTGATAAAATTACGGTCTTGTAATATAATTTTGTACTTTTGTATTAAATAAAAATAAAAAAATATCGATTTTTCGGGCAGAAATGGCGCTTTTTTCCCAAAATTCCCAATTTTTGAAAACATTTTGAAAGTTTTTAGATAGTTTTTCCGTTTAAAATATAGTTTTACTTTCCTAAAAACACTATGGAAATACTTCCGATTAGGTGACTAAGCATTTCTAACTTATTCAAAAAACTGTCCCCCCCCGGTAATGGGAAAGAACCAAAAACCCCTGTAACAGATCGTAAACTTGGTTAAAGATGACTGTCTCGTAATTATCTAGCCTCTGGATAGTAAATCGCGCTATTCCAGCAATCCCAAAAGATATCTGCTAGCTAGCCCTCATTAAATAATTTCTGCTAGCACTCCGTGCTCGCTATCTTTCAACCCCCACTTACCGGCGGCCCAGGCGGTCCGATCGGTCCAGCACCATGATGCATCCCGGGCATACCGTCGTGCCCCTTCGGTCCATCGGGTCCCGCTCCTCCTGGTGCTCCAGCCACCGCCGGCATCGGGCTGCCCATCTCGGCATCCGTGCCGGGCGGACCGGCCTGTCCAGGGGCCCCCGGCTTTCCCGGGTTTCCGGAAGGGCCCTTGGGACCGACCATCCCGGGCTGACCGTCTCCTCCTAAAAATCGTAACAAAGTTAGCAGAAATCATGGGAAATGCATGGCATATCAAAAACCGGTGCTTCTCTGTTAGCGGGGGGGGCGGGGAACCAATTTCTTTAATTTGTTACTACCTACCTTTTCTTACTAAATCTTTTCTTTAATTTTTCCCCAGTAATTCCTACCGCGCTTTAACGAAATATAAACCATTTTTATAGTGTTTTACACAGTTATTAGGCATAAAAAATCGTTAAAACATTTTTAATTTCGAAAAATTGAAACTTGAAATTGAAAAAATGAAAACTTGTTGCTTAAAAATATATGAAAAACGGCCAAAAAAGTAACAAAATTAGATTTATCTATAATTTTTCAAAAAGTTTTTATAGCTTTCTAGCAATCAGAAACTATTAAAAGCATTGTAAAAATTACTCTAATAATTATCAACTCTATAAAATTGATTGTAAAGTCCATGATAAATGAGAAGATCTATTCTAAAATTAGCTTCTTTCCCCCAGTTAAATTATAAATATCATTTTGTTCAAATTTTAAATTTTATCTGTTTAAATCTATTAAAATTACAAATTTATATTTGTAAAATTTGACAAACCTGGTGCTCCCATACTGCCCGGCATTCCATCCGATCCGGGAGGGCCAGCGGGGCCCATGGGCCCAGCTGGGCCCATCGGACACGGCTTGCATGGTGGTGGTGTGACAGGCTCGCAGGGCATTTGCGGTCCTTTTCCGGGCATGCCGGGCATACCGGGGGCCCCGGGTTTTCCGTGGGGCCCATTCTTGCCGGCAGGGCCACCGGCGCCGGGCGGGCCTGGGCGGCAGCAGGAGGCTCCGCAGGAACCGCCGGAACCTGAAAAAAACTGTTTTCTAAGTTCTCAAAAAATTTTCTTACCTCCATCTGCAGCGCTTCCGGTTGATCCTCCGGCAGCAGCTCCACCGGTTGGTGCCTGGATTTGGTGGTTTAAAGGGATCAGGAAGACCGAAAATAAAACGTGCTTTAGTTCGAAAAGTGCGTTAGTTTCGCTCACCTTCTTTCGACCTTAAGAGATTTTTAGCTGATTTTTCGCTTAGAGAGCGATTCAATTAAACGTTAACGTCTAAAGGTAAGCGGAATAAGATGGTTAAAAGATAGTGCTGTACGTTTCAAAGTCTATGAACCTGAGCCGGTGCTTCTCCTGCTCCCGCTCCTCCTCCAGCTCCTCCTTGCTCGTACTGGCGCTTGACCCTCGTCAGATTCCTCGCGTCCAAAATCGGCTGGTCCCTCAGCTTCGTCACGCCCACCCAGATTTCCGATGCGGAATCCTGAAAAAAGACTCACCCAACTTGTAGGAATCGTCAAAGGGTAAGCACCTTTTTAGCTTGTAAAACGCCCACCTTGCAGTATTTTATATCAACGGTCAGGTCGCGCTTCGACAGCGACACGTAGTTGTACACCAACGGCAGCGTGACACAGATGGATAGGATTGACACTAAAATTTTACATAAAACATAAAACTCGTCGAAATTTGCAAAAAACCAAGAGAAAGCCCACCGGCGCCGAACGCGATCGCCGAGTAGGCGACGATTTTGTAGGCGGCAATCTTGTGGTCCAGTTCCATACCGTAAAAATAGATTTTTTCAAGGTTTTAAGAACTATTAATATCAAAGAATCTATTTAGGCATTGGTCTTCAGAGTTATCTAAAAAATTTATCACAATGCTTTAAGAAAGCTTATTGAGCAAACAAAAGAAAATGAAACCCATGCGAAGCGAGCTAAACGAAAATTAAGTTTTAGCCATAAAGCGACCGATAAAGAAAAGAATACAAGTTTTTCTATAGTCCTAATGCTAGTGCCAGCTTTCGTATGACAACATCTTTTCTGTAGCTACTTTTATGCTCCGCCAGCGACGCTACCAGATCCGAATCGAGGCCGGCCCCTGGACTCGGATGGCAACGCCCGAAACAAAACCACTCCCCGATCTTCATCTGCAATGGCATTCACACCCCTTGGAGCCCGTAAAGTCAAGCAACTAGTAAAGTATCAGGTTCGATAATACGTTCGGTCACAATTTTTTGGAATCACGGCGCGCCCAAATTGACAACGTGATCCACCGTTTGATAGGACTCATCGAGCGCTAGTTCGGGTAGACGCACCCAGCACCCAAAAATTGAGGGGGGCCCGGCTAAGCTTCCAGAAAATTTTTCGCAAAATCACGCAAAAGTATTTTAGCACGTGATTTCTGCGTGGCGTGATTTGCATGCGATACCATTGGCACGAATCGATAGCTCTAGAGGAGTAGATATCAATAGATTTTGAAATCGTCAACATTGGCCACCGGATGGCCGAGACACGGCCGCTTGAAATTTGGCCTATCTCTTCGAACTTTTCCTGAAATCCTCCGACTTAAAGGGATAGGGGCGGCATGAGTCAATCGATTACGCGCGGGAAAGAAAATGCCTCTGCGCCTCTCGCCTGGGCGCCCTCTCTCGTCGCCCCATCTGTTGAACCCCCCCTCCCCCAGGGGGGTTCAACAGATGCCGTCCTCATCTCTTTAATGTCGAAAAATCGATTCCCAACTTTATCACAAGTAATGACAACATACAACATAAAACCCGAAACGATGACACATGACACAGCAACGATGCAACAAATTACACAAAAAACAATAGCCGGCAAAGAGGCTAGTCGAAATAGTCCTCCAAGTCGATGGCCGGCTCAAGGAAGTCGTCCTCGATGTCCTCCATGTCCGTCTGGTTGAGGATGAGGTTCTCGAACACCTGAAAAAGAGCCATTTATACAGGTTTTCTTCTCCGCAAAGAATTATCAAATGAAAGCCAGCAGTATCTCGGTACTGCTGTAAAAAAATTCAACCAAACACCGACCTCCTCGAGCTCGGTCTCCCCGATCAGCACCGCTCCCTGCATCCGGTGGTCGTGCATTACGCAGCGCACCAACTGACCATCCGTGATAATTCTAAAAACACATATAAAAGGACTCAAGTATTTGTCATTTATATATATTCAAATTTTTTATATTTGTCATTTTTCGCCTACGTTATATTACCCGGTTGAATAAACCATTCATATATATATATAAGTATCAAACCTTTCATTAATGTACCATCCTGGCGGCTGATTCTTGGCCTGGAAGTCGCCGAGCAGGACAATCTAGGGATGGAAGATTAGAAGGCAAATGTGAAAATTACTACCTTATACCCGTAAAACGTCGTGCAATGCGCGAACAGCTCGAAGCAGAAGCCGCCGAGGTCGGTGGCCCCGGAACAGGATTGGCCTGCGCAATCGCCCATTTGGCGCGCTTGCGTCCACGTGCGAATCTGGAAAGAGTAGTTGCGTGATAGGCTAGCAGAGATTCTTTGCGGAATCGGCACGTTAAACAAAGTTAAAAATCGAGCAACCGCTATCTAGATTTGTAACTTTTTCTAATAGGGATGGTCGTAAAATTTATCTATATTTTTATAAGTGAAAATACAATGAAAAATGTGCAAAAAATGGTTGTTTGAAATTTGGCCAAAAATCGTCGACATTTTTTGCCTTTTTAATCAAATTTGTAAAGTTTTTACGCTTATAAATGGCAAAAATAATTTAGAAACAATTCCCCTATTTATGGTAAAAAATTGAATGCGTAAAAAAAGTTGGTCCACCCCGATAGTGCGAAAGAACCCGAAATGTTTCTTGCAAAATTCGTCGTGGGCCTAACATCATCTAATTCTAGCTAATTTCTCATTAGATCTCATCCGAAAATTGCTACAAATTTCGCTTAAGCGGAGAATCAGAATTTATTTACAGGAAAAAACTTCAAAGCCAGAAAAATTCACCAAAAGACCGATTTTCGCTTTTCAATATATTGCCCAAATTGCTACCTGACTCCAATGGCGGCTCGGCACCCAGCCGGCCGTACAAACATCGCCGCATGCCCAGATGCCGGGTAGGGAAGTGGCCATCGTCTCGTCCACCAGGATCCCGCCATCCTCAGCCAGTTTCAACTAAATCAAGATATAAAATTTAGAAAACAAAAAGCTTACCCCAGGATGTCCCCACAGCTCGCTGTTCGGCGTGACCCCCGTCGCCCATATTGCCATGTCGACCTCAATAAGTTTCTTGGTAAAACTGAGATATTTTACCTCTATCGCCTCACCGTTTGATAGCCTCAAAACCAGGGAGTCGGGCTTCTCCTCTACGGCCGTCACCTCGACGCTGGGCACCACGCGGATGTTGTGACCCTAAAAATGTGCTTAGGGACTTGTATCTTCTCGAGGGGGATTTCCTCCAAGAACCAAATGTTTTCCACAAATCCAGGTAAGCCTAGCAGTGAAATATTAGAATTCTAGCGATGTTTTTTTTGGTCATTTTTAGTCCTATTTAGAGGAAATTAACCATCAAAATAAACGTAGAACGAGGTTATAAAATGCGGAATTTTGGCCAACAACGAATATTTAGCTCGAAAAATCGGTATTATGAATTTTTGAAAGAGTTGGTGATTTTTTGCAAATTTATTAAATTTAACTTTCCTCATTTTTAGCTTTATTTGAAGCAACTAAAATATCAAAAAAAAAGTTCAAAAGCCGCTTGAAAATTTCATAAAAACCGACCGCCGCAGCACCCTTCAGCTGCACCACCGTGCTCCAATCGGGCCCAAGCGCGCAACCCGGTGCGCTGGACGACGTCGAAGGGCCCGCCTCGGAATCGCAGAATTTCGGGCGACGAACAGGCTAAAATCGTATTTAGAGAAACCGCTCTATCAAAACCTCGTCATTCTTGTCACCGGCTTCTCGTCCCTTCTCCGCACGTCCATACAGAAACGCCGCCGTTTCTGCGTCAAAGTACGCTGCCGAGATGTGCGCGTCGCGTATGCACCACGTGATGTCGACGTCGCGGAGCTCGAAACTAAAAAAACAACGCTGATTTGAAGCGGAAAAACGTACACTAGCCGATTTAATTTCATAGTTCTTTCGCATTTTCGGGGAAACCGAGTTTTTTAAGGATCTTATTTTTTTGATATATATCGAGGAAATGTTTCCAGACTGTTTCATACTACATCTAAACTTAAAAACTTCGAAACTTTAATTAAAATTGAAAAAAGCAATTTTTCGACCAAAAGGCCGATTTTCGTTCAAAATTTCTACGTTTCTATCGTTTTTCCACGAAAAATATAGTTAATTTTAACAAAAACAGCATTAAAACGCATACTATTCCGTTACTAAACCTTTCCAGTCTTATAGAAAAAGTTGGTCCCACGGATAATGCGAAAGAACCCATCCAAAACATTAATTTCATGCTATAAAATTAATTTAAGTAAACCCCCTACATAATTTCCGTGGCAATTCCCCCATTGCCAACTACGGCCACTCGTTTCGCGCCGGCCAGCCGCTGCTCGAGTTGGCGGGCCGTTTCCGTGTCTCGTATCGTCAGTAACCGGCCGACTTCTGGGTAGGGATTCTGAAACTGAAAATAAATCGTATTTTGGAAACTTCACCTTTGGCCGGGCGCCCGTCGCAATTACCAAATAGTCGAATGGCACATGGGAGCCGTCGCTCAGTTCTAGGTCCTAAATCATCGTTGTAAACCCAGAAAACTAAATAGGCTACCTTGTTTTCATAGCTCCACGCGATCACGGCTCCCTCAACGACGCTGATCCGCTCGCCAACGAACGACAACCCGACCTCCTTCACGTCGAACAACTCGGTGAATTGGCCGACCTAAAAAAGATAAAATCGTTAAACGATACGTACCCGAAACCAGTTATGAACGCTCTTGACGTGGGGCCCGGCGGTGATCAGAATTACCTAAAAATGGTCGTAGGTGACGCTGACAAGTAGACGCTTTTGAGCGTGGACGGAGCTTCGAAATGCGACCAAGCCTATTTTGTGCAGAATTTTTTGCTGCACAAAACCTGGATTACAGAATTTGTGAAACGACCATCACAAGATAGTTATGGAGCTTCCAAGGGCGAAAAACGGTCAAAGCTGGCCATTTAGGGGAATTTTTCACACTCTAAACCTTAGTAATTTTTCAAATGAGGTCGCTCCGCAGATTCTGAAAAGTATGTTTTGATCAGCAAAATATTCTGCACGTAGGCTTGGCCCCATTTCGAAACGCCGCAGACACTCGAAATCATCGCCTTGTTAGCCAGCCGAAAACGTGAAAAGCGTGATAACAAACCTCGTGTTCATCGTCTAGGTATTGGCGTAGCGCCCGGACGCAGGAGACGCCCGCAACGCCACCTCCGACAACCACATACCTCATTCTGAAAGCAAAATAACTTCTAGAGCTACGCTATAAGCGCAAGTTCTTCAGTTTTTATGAGTCTTATAAGGCAAACGCAAGTTCAAAGAGACGCCTACACACCGTCATAAAAAATCCAACTCAAAAACTGTATCTTCCTCTTCGCATTTCTATCGTATAAATGTCGATCAGCCCCGAGAACAATCACGTAAGTTTTAACTTTATTTGCCAAGAACCACGTTGAAGGAAAATATCAATGATCGTAATAACCTGAGCCGCAGCCCGGGCATGGGAATACACGCTCGAGAACTAACGATACCGGGGTACGCGGAGAGATGGGCTCATATTAGAATAAATATCACAAGAAAGACAAGGAAAAATTAAAAAAGAGAAAGGGAAATGATTTAGGGGAACGTGACATCATCGAGTTTCTTGTAGCCGTCCTTGTCGATGAGTACGAGGTGGTAGCCGGAGAGGTTGGCGACAAAGCGCTTCTTCGCCTCTTGTAGGCACTTCTTCAGAAGGGCCACGCCAGCTTCTGTGTTCATCTGAAAAACGGAAGTTAGGAAGGCCAGAATATAAAAAAAAGATTCTCTCGCATTACCAAGGAAGATAAAACCTCTTTATACAAGTTTTTAAATGTCTAGCAACTTAATACGAAGTGTTTTAATGGGTTTTTAGTAAAATATCGAAATAGTAATTTAACTCGAAAAACTATCGAAAAAAACTTGAAAGTCCAAATTTTGGTAAAAAATGGCGTTTTTGGTCGTAAATCGATATTTTTGACATTTTTCCATCAAAATTGTGTAGTTTTCTCGTTTAGGAATAGTAAAAAACGTTTAGAAACACCAGATCTATTTAAATTTGAAAAATTAGATTCTAATAAAAAAGCCCCCGATAATGCAAAAAGAACATAAATCTTGAAAATACCCACATCAGCGCGGTATTCACGGTCCATGATGGCGTACGAGAATCTGCCGGGAAAGCCGCGGAAGAGGTAGGGTTGTCCCATCACGCCGTTGCCGAGGTAGTCGATCGAGCCGAGCAGGGCGCGCTTCTCGCTGTCGTCGTAGCCGCCGATCAGCACATCCACCGTGTAGTGGTCGCGGGAGCGCAGCGAGTCGGCGATCGACTTGCGGATCCAGTGGAATGCGGGCCGCGGCGACAGCTCGTATCCATTTCTGAAACAAAATGTTGAGAAAGCCGTAGAGAAAGAGCTTCTTCTATACTTCAAAAGTTTTTAGTAATAAAAACGTTACAAACGCTTAAAAATCTTGGTTTACTGGCTCAAACGGCAAAGATAAAAAAAATCCGTAAAAATCACCTCAAACTGTACAGCCTCATGTTGCGCAGGGTCCAGTCACCAAACTGGTCGACGTCCCCGTCCTCTCCAATGCACATCATCGTCGACTTGGTGCCGATGCGGAACTCCTTGTCGCTGTCGTTGTCGACGACGACGGCGCCGTAGGCGAAGCTGGCCTTGTCGCACGCGAGGACCACGTAGTCCTTGGTGCAGATGCCCGCGAGGAAGTGCATGCCCGCCATTTTGACACTGAAACAAAGGTCTTACTGAATGGAGACGGCAATGAAATGAATATTAGGGAAAACGGACGTGAAATATGTAAAACGGTCTAAATTACAAAAACTCTTGTAAAATTCGGCAAGGAAAGCTCGTAAAGAAATCACAACTTCGAGCGCGCTCGTTCCGCGCAACACAGCCGCTACGGTACAACTTTTAGAAGTTTAGGAGATCAAAAAGGGCAAATTTATACAAACGTTATAATTAGAATTTTGCAGGATAGGATGCCAGCAAAAAAACAACACAAAAAGGATAGCTTAGAATTTCGAAAGTGCGTTTTCACTGCTTTTCAGGATTTCAAAACGAGACCAATTTTTCAAATCTCAAAAAGCGGAAAATTTTGAACAACTTTGAATGACGATGCTGCAGTATAGCAGACGCAAAAAAAGGAAGAGCTTCAAACTTCTAGACTATTCCCAAAAAGAAACCGGGTCGAAAACCGATAAATTTTCCAGAGCGATAAGTATTATTACCATTTATTTTATAGACCAACCGAACGAACAAAGCAATAATAAAATGAGACGCGAGATCACAGGCAACATGGAAAACAAGTACACACAGCAATAAAGAAATATAAAAACGACATCTAGAAAGCTGTTATTCGTCCTGAACCACCTTCTGATTCGTCCACACGTAGATGTAGTTCGAGCTCGCGGATACCTAAATTGCAATGATCAGGATGTCAAAACAAAACCAACCATTTGCTGCAATTTCGGGTGCGCCACCACCGTGTGGACGACCGAGTGCTTGTGCGGCAGTTTGAAGAGCACTTTTCGGTCTATTAAACTAAAAAAGGGGTTTTAGGTTAGATAAAGTGCATTTTACTTGTAAATATACGCGTGTCCGTCCTCGCTTCCGGTGGCCACCTGCGCTACCGACGACAGGATGCAGGACCGGAGCATGTAGTCGCGATTTTGGTGGCCTGTATACCTAAACGAAACAGTAGCTTGAAAATTCCAAGCCGCTCACTTTGCCAGCATCTTTCCGCTCTGCTTGTCCATGAGCCGTAGATTGTTGTCGAGCGTCGTCGCGAGAATGCAGTTGCCATCCGGGGTAAACGAGACGGACGTCACCGATTCGCCGAGGTAATCTTCGTGAACCTGGAAAAATAGGATTGGGTTTCATTATCGAGAAGTTTATAACTTTTTGATAGACATCCAAATTCAGAAAAAATTATGAAAATGGCGAAAGGACGAAAACAGCATTTTTCGGCGCGAGCCCAGAATTTTTTATATCAATAGCGGATGTGTTTCTACATAGTTTTTAACTGTTCTTTCGCACAAAAGCTTTATAATTTTGAATTACAAATCGAAGTTTGGTTTGAAAAAGGATTTTTCGACCCAAAATGACCAAATTTCACTTTTTTAACACTTTTCTAGCTTTTTTCGAAGTTTTTTTGCTTTAAATATAGTTCAAACCTACCAAAAACAGTATAAAAACACTATACTAATCCCATCTGATAACAAACGAGAACCAAAAATAGAAAACTACAGCTGATTCAAAACCCACCACTCCGTCCCGTATGCTGTAGTGGCGACAGTGCCCGTCTGCCGATCCGACTGCCAGGTCGTGCCCGTTGACGTCGATGGAGAGCACGGAATCGGTCGCTTCATTCAAGATCTAAAATCATGATGAACTTGAAAAAGGTGAAAATCACTTGAATCGGCTTTTCGTTCTTGGTGCGCACGTCGTGGGCGTGAACCGTCGTGTCCATCGAGCCGGAGAAGAGAATGTTCGACTCCTCGTTGTAGCAGAGCACGTTGACTTTGGCTAAAAACAAAAAAAAAAATAGAATTTAGCAGTTCAACGTATTTCTTTATCAGTTTAGAATCTCTTCTTCCAAGTAGACGTTTTTCGTGACAATCGTGTCTTGGCAGGGAAACAAGTCAAGCTTCAACAAAATTTTTCGCTGTTGTCTAATCAGGCTTCAAAAACTGACACAATTCAAGCAGTTAAGAAGCTGTTAGGTGCGAAAAAGGTCCTCAAATTGCTCAATTTCTAAAAGTTTTCGTCTTTTTTAGCCTGAAAAACGTCATAACTTCCCAAATTTTGTCGTTTCGCAGATTTTGAAACTGCACGAGTTGATCTTGTGAAAACTTTATTGCCACATCTCCTTGTTAGAACCTCAAGGAAATCCTCTACCTCCATGATTTCGATATTTGCGTACGGTCTTCCCGCTCTCCACGTCGATCACCGTCACGCATTTGTCCTGGCCGCCAGCGGCGAGTTGCGAGTTGTCCGATGAAGAAGCCACATCAAGGACCTGGCAAAATTTTATTAGAAACGATTTTCCAATTTACCTCGTTTCCAATGCCCATGTAGGTGTTGACGTGAGCGGCCGTCACTGGGTTCCACAGCTTGACCGTCTTGTCGGCGCCGCATGTGAGCACGTAGTTGCCGTCCACTAAATTAGGTTTAGAATAAATTTTGATGAAACATGAATTGTAATCATTGGCAAAAGAAGGGGGGATTTGCCTAGTTCGAATTGTCATCGTGCATTGCTTTACGCGTAGCCTTGTGCGAGACGGAGGGGCAAGGGATAGTGAAAGAGCGGCAAGAAGGGGAGAAAATAACGGCGAGGTAGAGGCCGTAGACAAGAGGAAAAGGCGAGCCATACGCTACAGCTGATTTTCCATAATTGTTGTATAGCGTAAATCAAAAAGTAGAGAGAAAAAGGGCATGAAAAACGCTGACTTAATGTAAAGCGAAAAAAAGCCTTCTCTACGGTTTTCGCTACAGCTACGTCTTCAAACGCACAAAACAGGGTAAATTTCTTTCTACGAAAGCACTGCTGATTTTTAGAGACATCAAAAAACAAAAATTAGAGAAAACGTGGCAGTAAAACGCTAAGGACTTGGTATAACCGGCAAAACAACGCATTCGCCCGGATTTTACGCCACGTGCGCAAAAAGAACAGGCTAAATTCTTTCTAAGGTACTTTTAACCCAACCATTATATTTGACGCTTCTCACGGCCTCCTGATTGCAGTTGATCTTGTTGAGTAGGTATCGGGGCACGGCTTCTGTATCCGGTGTCTCCATCTAAATACAGCAAAACTTCGTAATCAAAATCTTTAGAAAACTTCAAAATTATTTTTCAATTATAGCATTATTAAAATCAAACTTCATAAAATTCAAATCTTTCAAGAAAAAAAAACAAAAATATCGATTTATGGTCCCAGAACCATTTATGTCAAGGCTCCATTATTCCGTCCCAAAAAGCAATATTTATTTACCAGAATGAACCCGCGCAACAATCGGACCAGCTTATACAGGGCATATCACCTAGCATTAGATTGAGCCTAGACATTATTAAACAATCAGAAACGAACCCGTAGAGAACATGACAACAGGAAAAAGGGCGGAAATGGCAGGGAAGAGGGAATATCACAATTTAAAAATGGTGAAAATGATTTTATTCGAGCGGCAGCTCTTTCTGCTCGCTGAGGGCTCGCGGGGAGTGGAGCAGCACGTTGAGTGTGACGCCCTAAAAGCTTCGAATCCCCGGAAAAAATGAAAAATCGAGTACCTGATGGTAAGCCGACGAGACAAAATGCTTGCTTGCCGTGGCGGTCATCGCCCGATAGTACTCGCCGGAGCCGAAAATTACCTAAAAACGGAAATATTTGGTCCTTGAGCATTATCGGGGGGGGGGAGCGGTGAAATCTTTTTTATAAGTCTAGACAGACCTAGTAACTTCAGAGTAAGAATTTTATTAGTGTTTTCAATTCAATATCACTATATTTCAACCAAAAAAAAGCTAAAAACTTTCCGAAAACTCGAAATTTCAATCCTAAATCTGACGTTTTTCGTCGAAAAATTTATATTTCTATGCATTTTTAAAAAATTTTTAAAGTCGTTAGCAAAAAAAAAAGTTTCGAAACAATTCCGCTTTTGAAGTTCACAAAATTGAATCCTGAGAAAAGCCCCCCTTCCCGGAAATGCCAAAGAACCATTTATTTAATTCTTTGAAAATTACCTTAGACCGTAAATTCGTGTAGACAAAGTTGTCGAGTGATTCGACCCTCTCTGACGTTTGGTCGTCGACAACTTCCACTTTCTCCATAAGCTCTTCGACGCGTTTCTAAAAAAAACACATCGTTGATAGCGCGAAATAAAACAAACCTTTTCCGTTGGCCCGGCGACCGTCTTGACAATGTCGAGCACATTGTCGTAGGCGGTTCGGCAGATGATCCAGCGGCGGCCCTCGATCTGCTTCAGCACCTTTTCGCGCTCCGGGTTCTCGCGCTCCCAGGCCGCTTGTTCTTCTAGCAATTGACTTGGGAATCTGATACAAAAAGCTCGTAAATATAAAGATTTTCTTACTTATGGTCGGTTCCGCCTGGATGCGTCAAGTTGGAGACGAGCAGGAAAACGGTGCTCACGTCGAGATTGATGGGGGTCTGCTCGTTTTCGTCAATTTCTAAAACAATATCGACAAACCATCAAAAAAAACTTTGAAAAATTTGTTTCGTCGAATTTTTGGTCGAAAGATCGGTATTTTTTTTATGTTTTGTTTCTTTTCATCAAAATGTTCAAGTTTTTAAATTGAGGAATAGTAAACAACGATTTAGAAACCCTTCCGCCATTAATTTTGAACTTTGACCCTTGGGAAAAAGGTTGTTTCCCCCCGATAATGCGTTAAACAGCAACATACCTGATCTATCGAATGGCAGCTTTCGCTCGTCTTCCCGCTCCTCGAGCGCTTCAAGGAGGTCATCCGGGACGTTGGCCAGCGAATTGAATGGGAGCTGGAAAAGGTACTAAAACAAAGAAAACTAAAACACACCTCTTGCCCTTCGACAATCACACCCATGGCCCGTAACCGCGCGGCCATCCGATCGGGCACACCGGCTTGAAAGAGGAACACCGTCTTCGGGGGTATGTAGTTGCGCGGGAAACGGCAGGACATCTTAAAAAATTAGGATAGTTTTCATGGCAAACTCCACCTCTAGATAGTTGGCCGC